GTAGTGTTGTCCTCAAACACTGTTATGGCCTGATCTGCTTCTGCCACCACTGCCCGCCACCTGCTGGGTTTTTTGTTTTCCCCCAGTTTGAGCACTCGGGACCAAAAAGGTTTGATGTCACTGCTCTATGCCATGGATGCATATCCTCATGGAGACCTTGGCAAAGGCCCAATATATCACCAGATTTGATCATATTAAAGGTTATTGGCAGACCCAGGTAGCTAAGGATGTCTCCAACAAATCTGCATTTGTCCCACATGTCAGCTTGTTGAACTGCATCCGAGGGTGTTGAAGGGACTGGCTGAAGAACTCTCAGAACCGCTGATTATAAAGCGGCCATCATACAAACGTCTAGAAAAAAAGCAGTCATAACTAGAAGCCAACACGAATTTGTCAATAACAAATCCTGCCAGACTAATCTGACCTAATTTTTTGATCTGGTAACCTCCCCGATAATGGGAAGGGTGTAGACATCAGATATCTTGACTTCAGCAAAGCTCTTTGTTAAAGTGCCTCCTGATAGTCTGATTAGCAACTAGGCATGAGATGGATCAAACAGCTGGCAGGCTACTGAATCATACTCAGAGGATGATTAACATCTTCTCAAACTGGGACGAGGTAACAAGTGGGGTACCCCAGGGGGTCTATCCTGGGTCCTGTGCACTTCAACGTTTTTATTAATGATCTGGATCTGGAGGTGCTGGGAATGCTAATCACATCTGCAGATGACACAACATTGGGTGGAATAATCTACTGTTTCCCCTGGTACCATTTCCTCCAGAAGTGCCTCTGCCACTGTCAGGAGGCTGCCCAGCCCCTCTGCGAGTGAAGTAAGGGGGAGAGGAGGGGAAGAAGTTTTGAGACTCTCTCGAGGGCTTGGGAGGATCCTGGTGAGTCCCTGGTGGAGGGCAGGGTTTCACTCAACTAGAGCTTATTTTCAGAGTAGGGCTTACTTTCGGAGAAACACAGAAGCAGTTTCACTTGAGCAGTGGGTTTCCCCTTTATAGGAGATCTTGGATGACTAGAAAGATGACTCTTTTTATTAAAGGTCCTCCTACATTCCATGCATTTCCATGGCCTCTCCATGTCTTTGATAGCTACGAATCATTAGGACACCCGACTCCACAGGAATCCTACAGAAATTTATAGACCTCCCAGGCAAGGAGAAGATTCTACAATTCATCAGTGCTGATATGATTGCAGAAAATGGGTGATTCCCACAACAAAACCAGACTGTGGCGGTTTGATATTCTCAGATGTCTGGAGATGTGTGATTTCCCCTCTGGGTTCAAAAAAAGACAACTGACCCACCGGGGTCTGCCCAAAAGCCGTATCTGAGGGGTTGGTCCATCTCTCCCTTTCTCTCTTTGGCTAGCATGCCTCTTTCCTCCCTGATCTTTCTGCCCCACTCTCTTCTCTTTCTCTCCCCAATAGGAGGGTTTCTCAGGTCTTACTTCTCCTTTCCGCCTCTTCATGAGGGATCATCAATTTCTTCCACTGCTAGGTCCAGGGATTCTCCATTCATATTCTCTTCCAGCCTTAAAATAATACCCTTTCCTTCTTTTGCCCTTCTGCCTCTCCAGCTTCCACTGTCCCTTCTTGATTTATCCTCCCGATATATATCTCTTCCCTCTTCCTGTCTCATTCCTTTCTTTTTTCTCCTTCACCCCCGCTGCTCCTAACATTCCCTCACCCGGTGGATCCTTCCTTCCCTCTGATGGGTTTTCTGCTTCCCTCACTCAAACTTCCACCTTAGGCACTCCGGCTCTTTATTTCCAGACTCTCCATTTCCTTCACTGCTCTGAAACTTTGATTCTTCACCCAGACCTATCTCTATCTTCTTGGTTTTCTCTGTGACCCTTCTCATCTGATATCTCTCATCTCGTTCTCCCCACTGAGCTGTTGCTTCTCTGATGGGTCATATGTTCTTTCTCTGGGGCTTCATGAGCTTCTCCATCCTCTCCTAAGGAAAGGACGGCACTCCAGTTGGGAAGAATTCATCCTGACCTTGTCCCTCACAAAGACAATCAGTGACAAGACAAGGTGTTTGAAGCTCATCTGTGATAGAGTTGCAGCGTGCTAGGGGACACTAATGAGTAGAATTTCACAGAGAGATGAAGTCACCAAGCAATGAGACAATATTGATAGCAGAAAATTATATTAAATCAAGTTTGTTGCAGGATACATACATACAGTTTTGTCCTTATTCAGTCCAATGATCATTCACGGCAATAACAAGAGTTCAGGCATAAATCAGTCCAGCAGTCAGAGTCTTCTTCTCCAAGTTCTCTCCACGACATCACATTGCCACAGCACCTTACCTACCATCTGCACCAACCACCATGTGTGTGCTGAGGCTGCTGGCTTTATTCCGAGTTCAGCCAATCCTTGGTTTTCCTTCACAGCTGATACAAATATCTTGTATCATCCCAGCTGTATAAATTGTTACCTTACATTCTTTCTTGACATAGATTCTGACAAAGACTTACAGCATTCATGCTCTTTACAACTGATTTGTATAAAACTGGATTAACAATTCCATTCAGGTCTATATCAAACCTGTCAATCTGTGTATCTCATAAGAAGTCTTTTAATTGTTGCAATGATTCCAGGCAATTCCAAAACTTCTTAATTCTGCACAAGTTCTTTTATTAACATCATTTCTAGGTTCCATGCTTAAATATACTAAGTCAAAATAATAATAATAATAAGAGGAAGTCTTACATGTGTGAGAAAAAAACTGTAGGTACAGATCTTCAAATCCAAAAGTCCTCCAGTTATGCAAAAACTATAGGTTTACTTAAAATACATCCTTGCACCTTGTAAAAAGATGCGAGTATTTAAACTTAGGTTATAGGCAAATTTTAAGACATGTTTGAATCAAAAATACAAGCACATTAAAACACCAGAGCTCATAATCTAGACAGACAGATAATACATCTTCATAACACTTCAAAGTTTCTAACAATACAATGATAAAAAGAAAAAAAAACCTTATCATTTTCAATGAAAGACATGCAAAAGTATTTAAACTTTAAAAATAAATGTATACAATGTCAAAAGCATTATTTGGCTCTAAGCAGGTTGTTAACACACAGAGAATTTTCTTCTCAACCAGCAATGTGTAAAATCCATTGCTGGCTGTCACTGCCATATGGTTATCTTTCCTCTTTTCTAAAGAATTTCACCCTGCATCAGTTCCATCATCTGTTGTTGTACTCCATGAAAATAAATCCTGTGTGGTTCTCCATCCCTTTCTAATAACAGTGTTTGTTCTTCCTCAGTCAGCAAAACAACCAAAACAACCTCTTCATAAGGCTTGGGTTTCCCAGCCTCTGAGAAGCTCAGATGATGAAAATCAAAGGATTGGGTCAACTCTGACCCAATGCAGTCCAGGGCCTGAAGAGATCAGAGCTTGAAAAACTCAAAGTTTGAACAAATCTCATCAGTACAGAAATGTCTAGTTGTTGATAAAAAATACAGAATATTCATTGGCTGCCTCTTCAAAACACAATTACTATTATTATTTACATGGGCAAAGCCTACTAAAACAAATGACACATTTTGCCTAATTGCTACTTGCTCATCTTTCATCACGTTGCCTTAAAACATCCATCTTTTTTCATTTTACACAAATTCTCTAAAAGCTTCCATTGTACAATATATTATTATTCTCCTTGGTTTAACACAAGTTTCCACATCCGTTTGTTAATTAGCATTATGAATTACATACATCACAAACGGACTTCCAACATTCACTTGTTTTTTCTTTTCTCTCGGTTTCATATTACGTCAGCATTTTCTTGTCTATTCTTTCCAGTGGAAAGTAGCACAAAACTGAATGAGCTACTTATGCGTTCTTATCAGCAGCTTTTTTACCAAAACAAGGGGTTGCAATGTAAACTATATCCCCAGCAGTGATTTTTCTAAAACCTTTCACTTTTAATGCACCTCTGAAGCACCTTTTTAAAAGCAGTGTTATTTTAGGATAAAAAAAACCCGCTTCCCATAAAGATAATTCTTTTTAATAATGCATACAGCTAAAGTTATCTCTCAAGGTTATCTCTCCAACCGAAGCTCAATCCACATTCCGTGAATTTCTAGTTTCTGCCTCATCTGTGTTCTTCGATGAGTGTGAGGAGATAGGAGGAAACTGGAACTTGTCATACAAAGACGGAGTCTGTGTAAGATGAATTTAAAAGCTATGTTCTCATGATATTGTTGTGCAGAGTTGTAAGAGGCCCAGAGAAGATGAAACAGAGCATAATAATAAGCCAGAAAAATGGTTGTTCATGTATGTGACAGATTGATGGTGGATGTTGTGGAATGTGAGAGGTTTGCCTTTTGAAAGAGAAGAGAGGGGAGAAATCACCCAGCTTCCCTAGATGCAAACATGTAGTGAGAGCAAAGATGATAACTTAGGTTCTAGTTGTTATTTTACTTAGAAATCGTAGACTTCTTTTAATCGTTGTAACAGATGGGTATGTCTAATGCTTACGCCTTTAAGGCTACAACTGTATTCTAATGAAATGACTTTTTTTTTTAATTCTTCAATAGGGACTGGTCTCTTGAACAGCAGGATTACATCTAAATCTAGTGAGGATCTGAGGTCACTCATTGTTACTGTAATATTGAGAGGTCCTACTTGCTCAGGCTGTTGTCTGGCCAAAGAAGCACTCGATCTATTGCTTTGAAAGTAAGCAAAGTTTTCTTTTAAGGTTGGGCTTGTCCATGGGGCTTCTACTACACACCTCTGAGGCCTAAAGGACCTACCTTAGGCACTAAAGGTGGTAGTTTTGCACCTACAGTGACTCCCTGACCCACAACCCTTATCTCTTTAGGTAGAGGTCATCGTGACAATGATAACTAAGGCTATGGGTCTAATTCAGACTTTCCACATTCAATGTATTGATATGAACAAAGATTATTGCTCCTAATGAGGCTGTTTACATTCTGAGTATTTCTATGCTTTCCCCCCAGTATGAATTTTAAGATGAGACCTAAGGCTACTGCTATGACTGAAGCTCTTTCTACATTCCATGCATTTATAAGGTTTCTCCCCGGTGTGAGTTCTTTGATGTGAACTAAGGGAAGTGCTTTGAAAGAAGCTCTTTCCACATTCCATACATTTATACGGTTTCTCCCCGGTGTGAGTTCTTTGATGTGAACTAAGGGAAGTGCTTTGAAAGAAGCTCTTTCCACATTCCATACATTTATACGGTTTCTCCCCGGTGTGAGTTCTTTGATGTGAACTAAGGGAAGTGCTTTGAAAGAAGCTCTTTCCACATTCCATACATTTATACGGTTTCTCCCCGGTGTGAGTTCTTTGATGTTTAGTACATGATCCCCTGTCGCTGAAGCTCTTTCCGCATTCCATACATTTATAGGGTTTCTCCCCGGTGTGCGTTCTTTGATGTGTACTCAGGGCACTGCTGTGACTGAAGCTCTTTCCACATTCCATGCATTTATGTGGTTTCTCCCCAGTGTGCGTTCTTTGATGTGTACTCAGGGCACTGCTGTGACTGAAGCTCTTTCCACATTCCATGCATGTATATGGTTTCTCCCCAGTGTGAGTTCTTTGATGTCTACTCAGTCCACCGCTCTGACTGAAACTCTTTCCACATTCCATGCATTTATGTGGTTTCTCCCCAGTGTGCGTTCTTTGATGTGAACTCAGTCCACAGCTCCGACTGAAACTCTTTCCACATTCCATGCATTTAT